TTATTTGTCACTATAATTTTCTTCATTCACTGACTTCTTAACCTTTGCACTTTGAAGAAAAATAATTACTCTCCCAAAATATTCAGTTAGTCCACTTTGAGAAACAAAAATGATAGTTTGTTCAAAATAAGCCATCCAAATAGACCACATTCTCTGCTACTTATTAGCTTCGTGAAGCTTAGCACATTGATGTACTGGGATATTTTACCATAATTGAATTGAATTATTTTGATTTTCCCGTCGATTTATTGGACCGAAGTGCTCGGTCTCAGGTTGACATGTCGGCTTCTTGTGCAGATGCTTCGACGATGTCTGGGGATTTGATTAGTATTTAATTGGTGGATGGTGACTAGCAGTGGAATCCAGGATGCGCATTTCATACTATTTAGGACTCGTCAGCTGGATGTACCTGCATTTCTCAGTGAGTGATGATGTTCCCGCCGAGGCTCGAACCCAGTACCCATAGTTTCGAACGCCAAAGCGTTATCCACTAGGCCACTCGGGCCACATGCTTGGAAAAGTACCATGATTTCATGTCACACGGGACTCCGAAATAAATAGACAGTGTTGAGAAAAAACACATAAAACGCTTACACACAAGATCCATGTCTGCATACAAAGCCGAAATTTGCGTGATAAAGACAAGAAGTTGACAAGATGATGAACACAAGTGAATTTGATAAAATTTTGTTACGTTCGAGTCAATTATAGGTATCTGATAAGAAACGTATTTAAAAAAGGTGTCACTCTTTCAGACACAAATCGACATTTGGCACTTTATTCAAATACTTTAATAATAATAATAATGACTTTATTCCACAACAATAAAAATTTACAGCATGGAATTTTCAGCGTTTCTCTTACATATTGCAATGGTTTAGCTCTGTTTATAATTATATTAATGTATAAAATGTTAAAATATTGATAGTTAATAGGAAAAAACAAAAATAATAATAATAAAAAAAAACCCAACAAAATCACACCATTCTAGGTCATAGTGAATAATAAATAAATAATATAACGAATAACACATGCATAATAATATGCATCATTACATTTTATAGTTTAGTTATTGATTCAAAAGTTGCAAAAGTTCTTTTCTGATATTTGTCTCTTCACACAATACTCGTGCCAAATATGGAACGGTCGAATTTTTATATTTTGTAGTACGAGCATAAATGTTTATAAAATTTCTTCTGGTCTTACCCGAAGAGATACAAGGAAACAATTGTGAATAAAGAGGATGTTCACTATCAGATAAGATAACTTTAGCTAAGTGTTTACAAGAATTCATATGCCTATTGACAACAGTGTCATTTAGTTGAGTCAAAGGGATAGCACTGACCCTACTTACAGCCCTCAATGTTCCTCGTAGTATTATATGGTCTTTCTTGAGTAGCCCAGGGAAGAATAATGGAGAACAATAAAGAATGATGGGCAAAACACATGAATTAATAAATTGTATGATAAGAGATTGGGTTATACCTGAGTGTCTCAACTTCTTTATGTAATAAGTCAGACGGAAAACTTTCTTAGAAACTATAAGAATATGAGACGACCAGCAAAGGTTTGAAGAGAAACTAATGCCAAGTTAAGAAACACTTGACTTACTCTCTATCATGGTACCATCAATATTACAACAATCATGAGATTGAATCAATCCATGCATGTCTTTTTCGCTTCTCAAGCTGAAATCAACAGTGTTACATTTAGTTGGATTTAGTTTAAGACCATTTGAGCCAGACCAATCCTTTACTTCAGCTAAGAAGCCATTCATATGGGAACAATCCGATGTGGAAACTACAGGGACAGAAACGGTCAGATCATCGGCATACTTAATGAAGTTAACTTTGGGTGAGTTCGGAAGGTCATGCAAAAAGAAAGAGAAAAGAAATGGAGAAAGTACTGCACCTTGAGGCACACCACTTTCAGTTAGCTGAGATACATCTTTGCCTTTCCAAACCTAAATTCACTTATATACGGGAAAGCGCAGAATAAATGTTCTTCTGAAAAAATTAGAAACTCGGTAACTGAAATTTATAGTAAGCTTGAGTCGGTAGGCTGTATCCACTATCGCTCATGATGGTTGCCTTCAATATCTGGTGGTGCGTTCGATCAATCTATGCATATCATATAAATTGAACTATGATATACTAACCATTAAACCAAATGAATCAATGAGATTTTCTCTGTGCTATTAATTCAATGTCATATAATAACAATAACAATGGTGTTCAAAACAATATTTATTCGCTGACTAAAGTTCACAACTTTGAAACTTGAAACGTTGTCGGAATAATAAACGATTTCTCTCTTCACTATTCACATCTTTACATAATTAACTAAACAATTAGAAAAATAATAATAAAGAAAAAATAATTGTGCATAATTTGCCCACAGTCAAAGCTAATAAACTGTTTTTATTCTAAACTATTTCATTACAAATAGTGTGATTTGCAAAGCTGTTATGCCGGGGTCGTAAAGCGAGAAAGGGTGAATCGTGTTCTCGTCGCAATGAGCATGGCTATTTCTGATGTTGACTGAAGACTGATTGCTTCCATCCTATAATTTCTTTTCAAATTTGATGGTGTCAGCTGAAGCATGACGTTGTTAAACAGGATACTTTATTCTTTCGCGGTTTACCAAATGTCTGTTTATTTTCGTTAATCTGTATAAATATCTTGGTGATATTCAATTTCAAAACACTTTTGTGTTGAGAGTGTAGGAATTATAAGTGATGAGTACTTTCCAACACTAAATATATCATTTAATTGAATTCATGATAGATAAGATTTTATTTTGATAAATCACACAGTGCTATACAGTAATATTAACTGATGATGCTCCGAGCAAAAACTATTACTCATAATCATATCAAGAAACACACACAGCTTTTAACTGCATTTACTTCATCCCACCCTTGTCTATAAAGGAAGCAAAATGTTGCATGAGTGATTTGATATGATTATGAGCAATAGTTTGTGCTGGACACTTCATGAGTTGATATTACTGTATAACACTGTGTGATTTATCAAAATAGAATCTTATCTATGATGGAGTTATAATCTACCACAACAGTACCCAAATATTATACTTCTATCAATAATTGAATTCAGTTTAAATCAAGAATGATGCATTGACTCCAATTCATCTCGACTGACGCAGCCCTTCGGTCCAATCAGTCGTGGGAAAATATGAAATTGAATTAAATAACTTATTTGACCTGTTGCACAAGAAGTCGCTCTCGTTGTCTAATTTGTCTAGTGGATACCGCTTTGGCGCTTGAAACTATGGGCACTGGGTTCCAGCCTTGGTAAGAACATCACCAGTAACTGTGGAATAAAGGCACGTCTAGCTGATGGGTCTTAAATAGGACGAAGTGCACAACATGTATCCCACTGCTAATTAACATCCAGCAATTAACTAACAAATGCATCATTCATCTGGTTTCCTTATGCAAAGGATAACAATTGTATGTGAAGCAACCTTTGTTGGTAACTTTGCTTGTTTTTGTCTTTAAAAGGATAATCAATATGGGCATCTTGTGTCAAGTCAACACCACGATTCATAGTGACATCTATGTAACTCACCACTTGTCAGATGGCTATTCCTATAATTTTAATTTGGTTTCTGCAATTCGAATTGAATGGCTTTAATAAGCCAAATAGTTATTTTCTTCCCATCTGCTCCTCATCTTATATATCACCTACGAACTGGTTTTCCTAATTGCAGCTGAGAAATACACAGAATTCAAGTCCGTGTAGTCTATTTAGACACATATTCTGGTTAGTGAATTGACTCAAAGTTTATCTATTTCTCAACACCGAAATTTATTCTGAATTCCCACAATGGTCGCGTGCCTATACCTTCTGTCGTAATTGCGTTCCCCATCGCGATTTTGTGTGATCATTACCTAACTTTGTAAACATTTTCGAATGCCGGTCATGGTCACTAATTAGTAAAAACCTAAGATAAACTGGCTAACTTATTCTGGATTCATGTGAAATCTTGGATATTTTCACTATAACCATTTAACCGGAATAATCTTTGTGACTTGAGAATATGTCAGTTGACAGTTGAGCATAACGTAGCGTATGTCAAAGCCTACCTGAATGATAAAGGAGTCGATATTACACCAACAGGTTCAGAAGACTGTATACGTGGGCAAAACATTTTCTCTATCGTTTCTGTAATTATACATAATGTGATAAGTTCACAGGTGTATGCGTTTAGCGAGAAGAAGATCCTTCGGTGACCTCATATTTCCCTTGATTTGGATATCGAAAATAATTTCATCACACATACACACGGTTCATTTCATAACGGTAAACCACTATTAAATATCAGAAAACAGAAAACAGTGTCAAAATAGTTAACTATCTGATACGTAATTCATTCATTTCCGTGATGTTCAACAAACAAGCGCTAACATCTGGAAATGATTCCATGTATGTTGAATCGATTTCCGAATGTTTCAATGGAACTTGACACTCTTCCGCTTCTATCGTTACTAACTAATATGCATTGTCTTCGTTTATCGATATAATTCTTGGCTTTCACTTGGATGCTGAATCATTCTTCTAACATAATAGATTGAAATTCGAGTGATTTTTCTCACGGGGTAAACTGAAACATTCGTGACATCTCACTACTCAACCATCTTCACAAATTGACAAATCGTTTGTCGTTCTGTGAAACAAATATTGGCACTTATGTCTCATTGTATATGATGAAGTTGACAGTTCTTCAGAATAGAAAAGATGTAAACATACGAGAACACATGTATATACTAACTCATACAAAATTAGATATTTAAGCACAATAGTAAAACGATGATGCATGTTCAACGAAAATAATCTGGAAACTATTTCACAATTACTAGATTGCTCTCTTAGTTTGCACGCCAATCAAATCCACATGATGTGAAGCTCTCATATGTTTGTGTGAATAGATTTGTCATTAGGAACCAAAGAATGAAAGCAAGAGTGAATGCTGTGGAGTTAGGCGGGAACCACCACGTTATCCATCTTCGCATATTGACACAAATAAACATCATCTAAAGTGGAAAGAAGTAATACAGTGTAAGTGAAAACAGACTACATTTTATTACTATAATGTTTTAGGAAATTCGCATTCTGTATTGAAAAGTTGTTAATTATTGTGATCACATAATACTAACGAGATATGTTTTCATCACGTCACAGATACTGACTGAATATTGGGCAAATTCGTAATCAACACTGGGACTGCTCTAGGAGCAGATAACGTGGACACTATTTCGATAAGAATGATTGTCGGAAAAAATCACACTTTTAGTATGCATCTAGGAATTTATGCGTATGACAACAGTGTGCCTGTCGGTTGGAGGGATTTTCAGATTTTGTTTGGTTAGTGTTGTCCTTCATTATTCAACCTGTTTGACATATCTTCACCTGACACACTTCCAGAACATCAACTTCACACCAACCACTGTGTCGTAAATGACTCTGACTGATATCATCAATAAGATATATTCACACTGGTCTCTCCTGTGACAGTATTATTTCACTTCACTCATATTGCACATGATTTCTTGCTCAGATCTGCACATCGAATGTGTCTTTATCCATCCCGAGGCCAAGAGAACACATGTGAACATCAGGATCATTAGGCATCATCAAGTAACCAGTTCAGTTGATTAGCTTAGTCGCAAGTGTTGCTTCATCGCCGCAATTCTAGCGTCTCACATTGGATAATTCAAGGGTGATCATATTCATCAGATGTATACCGCATAAATCAGTAGTGAAAATCCTACTGCAGTTAGCCTATGGGCATGTTTCCGCATTTTCTATCAACAGCAGATATAATGACATGGGGAAATCAACGTCAAATGAAACTATCAATATTTTACGAAAATTTCCTAATAAGGAAAACCCTATTTACTCATGGTTTGATTGCATTCGAAACTGGTAATCTAATTGACAATGCTCCACATATACACACACATATACACACATTCCAGTACTATCAAACACCCCATATGCTGTGCACTATAAGATTGCAAGAGTTATTGTGCCGAATACAGTGATAACATCAAAGACTTACGGTGAGTATGAGTATTGCGATCAAAACTAATGAGAGTACGCAGAATACCTGAATTTCAGAAGTGCAAAAAACAAGGAGAAAATTCACAAAGAATATACAAAAGTTTCGTTTAGGAGTGTGAATTCTAATACTGTGATACTAAACAAAATATTCACTGCTAACATGTAGACAATGAAAACTAACAAAATATCCTCAAACATCTTTCGATAAACTGACAGAGATTCATGATCAATAAGGAATACTAAGAATGTTTTTGAGAAAGACCTGTGCAGGTTACATACTGAATAGAGTGTATCAAAAACCATTGATTAAGTGAATAAATGGGGACGTATATCACCGTCTGTCGAATCATTGAACAGAATTAACTTGCCATTTCTACCAACCCACTTCTAATCAACAACCCTCAGTAAATAATTAACTACTTAGATTGATAACAAAATTTTAATACTTCGTATGGAACCGGTTTGTTTTCAGAAATGGACTTGAAAATTCACAGCAAAGCGAATAAATTTTATCTCATACATGTTACAGGGGACTTGAGTTTCAGTAAGATAAACAGCTAATAGGTCTGATTTTCTGTGCTCATCTGATATTTTTTGTCTTCCGTATTCAGCACGGTTACGAAGAAAATCGTAGGCTGCATAGCATTTTAAAATGATGTATGGATTTCGTTCGATTTTATAAATAAACGTGTGAATATTTGTGACTGAAATTTGTGTAATTTACGCGTTTTTGTTCTTGGATTAAGTGAAAGCAAATCCTCATAGCGATAGCTGAAACAACAAGGACGACTGATATCTGAAAGAAAAAGATAAATCCCTTTTCACTCAATGACGGCAGTATCAGAGCAACCATGACAACCATCACTGTGACCAGAATCGTTACAGCCAACGATATCAAAGCACATTTCCACTGAGCAGTTTGGATCATAGCGGCGAAGGTCACAGACCATAATATGACCTGCATGGAGAAAGCAATAATGATAACAATAACTGAATAAAGATCATCTGATAAATGAAGGCGTAGTAAGCAAATTAGGTACATTTCAAATGCGATATTTCCCACCTCAGTTTATTGTTGTCATACACAGAAAATAGCAGTTTGTTTCACAAGCAAGCAGCCTACGTGTTTCACAGCGTAAGTGCGACATTATTCCATTGTGTGTAAATGCTATGTCGAATGTGAAAACAAAGTGAAGGATGAGATTCAGAAACTGAAGAATTGTGTCAAATTGTCAGTAACAAATACCTCCCTATATTGGAAGTATACTCTTGTTTCCCCTGTTAGTAGACTGAGAACGAAATTACACTAGGAGATATTCAAAAACTCATGAATTTGTGATGAATCGATATGAAACCCAGAGTAATAAAAATTGTGAATATAGCAGGTGTTGTGTTTCTGTTGTTTCAGCGAACCACGTATATGAAAATAGTCTTACTGCAATGTGTTCAGGAAGTGCCCAGTATGACTTCATGCAGTCTGATTATTCACATGCTTCTCTTGTACATGTCTCTCTATTTAATTGCTTCATCGAATTGAATATCGTTAAACATTGCTTCCAGTTGTAAACGTTTAGGTCATTAGTAAATCTGAATAAATGTTTATTATTCTCATATCAGCCTCACTGCTTCGCTAATCTGCAGTTGTCTATGGAGACAGTTTTCTTCCTCCTCATACAATTACTGTTGTGACGGCCATGGAGACGAAAATGACATGCCTCAGAAACTGTGGAGGCAATCTCATTGGCGAGATAACCATCGCCATTGACTTTTCTCAAATAACACAGCAGTAATTTGATTGCCATATATAATAATGAAAATTATGATCATTGCATATACGTCAATGTAATGTTGATACTTACTATAATCCAAATTAATACACGAACACCGTAAAAATTTGAACGAATCACCCCAAGGAATATTAGTAGAAGTATTAGGATGGCAACAACCGATCTGAAATGAATTCGCAAACATCAACAATTGATCTCAGCCAGTAGGTAATTAAAATGACTCATTACAAGATAAGTTCAATGTAAATCGTAGTAATGAAATCTCCTATTTGTTAAATTGAACATTCTCTACTTGATCTATGATTGATGAGATCAATCTGAGATTTTCAGCACAGATAAAACAGTCGATTTTGATCGATGTTGCAAACCACAGCTTCGTCATAACGAGCATTATATTTGACGCAGAACATGGTTAAACACTATTCTTTTCACAAGCTGATGAATATTCTAGCAGGGAGATGTAAAGTAGTTATTTGAGGACAGATTCTCTGCATTTCTCAGATGCATCGATATATAATTATGTAGAATCAAGATCTCTAGTAGTTAGGAGTTAATTTCCATGACAAAAAATGTCTGAGCACCATTCGCTAAGCTAGACCTCAAAAAGCTCAACATATAATGTCCTCATTTGACCTAATACCAGTGAATACATGTTGAATAAATCAGCCGCATATTCAAACACTTCTTATCAGCAGTAAAACAAATATCTTGTTGGTCAGTTACTCATTAGTTGAAAGATCCCCTATCTGGAAATCAGTTCAAATTGACGCACTCTCTAACCTCGCCTGGTTTACTGGTATGTTTTAATCCTGGTAAAGTTGAACGTTCCTATTAGTCCAGAAACCACACCTCTTAGATAAACAGATAATGGATTTGTACTGTGAGTGAATTACACTTGTCATCTATTAAAAGAATCATAAGCTCAATTCATAATCATTAAGGTTGTGAAGAAAACTTACATAATGATATAAACAACATAGAAATTCGTCGTGAAAAGTTCAGAAATATTAGGTCTGAAATGCAAGATAAGACTTCATTCTTCTTTAATGCAACCTTACTCAGTGGTAAACAACACGACCAACCCGACTGTCATCAGAGTCATGAGTACTGTGTCGATTATTAACTAATAATAAAATGACTTATTTGACAGATCGTGCTACTCTTACCGAAGTGGTGTAGTTTGGAACCGGTTTTCGTAGTTCCTGACTCTTAATTTTCGGAAGGACACAGGACGCAACTAAATCTGTCATCATGGAATATTTCGAAATCTGTGAACGAATGTGATAATGACAATAGAATGAGAAGTATGTCATGATAAGTGAATGAACACGACGAATACAGTTTGACATAAGCCTTGTAAGGTTATATTTTCCACATATACAGCAGCAGTATGATGCAAATAGGGTCACTGATTTCGTGAATGCATTTTTCAGAAGAAAACGTTGGTAGGTAAATAAAATTCAACGTTAAAAGTTGTTTGTGAGTTTTGAAAGGGACGAGTAAACCTCAGAAAATTTCGAGACGTGAGTAATAGTTTCATCACATTTTGAGCAGTCACGACGAAATAGCATATAAAATTGAATTTCGATGAGGAGGAATTAGATGTATTGGAAAAAAATATCCATCATCAGTACATAAACGTTGCACGGTAACCCACTGCAACTATACAGCTTATAAATATGAACGCCAGGCGCATCCATAATTTGTTCGTGAATAATGGGTTGAAATGACGTGTTCTCTCCCTTTTGATAAGACTCATGGAGCCTACTGCATTTCAATGAAATACACCATCTTCTGAACAAACGTATTCGTCATGTAAAAAGAATTTATCACATTAGGAATTATCAACATAACATAAACATAACTAACACCACCTATCCATCCATCTTTGAGTCAGTACAAGAATTATTCAATTCCAATATGAATACCAGAGAGGATATGAGAGTAACTCACTCACCTAAAGTAGCTCCTCGTTTCAGAAATATACGCTTCGGAAAAAATTCAAGTTAATTCGCATATATATATAGCTTAAATTTTTTGATGGTTTTCGAAATGTATATTTAATAAACTTAGCGGTCATATTCCGTTCTGTGTCCCAGTGTTACCAAAGTTCATATGATAAAACTTTTTTCGAGATCATGAGATTATTGACGTCAGTTGTGAAGTTTGATACACATTCAAGTAAGATGTCGACATAGAGCATAAAGTAATAGTCAGTTAACTTGGTTATTAAAGAGTTTTTTTTCACGAAATATATTAATATGTTAATGTCTCAAAGGTTTCGTATATTTCATATATCAATTGAAACAAATTATTTGTAATTCTAATATCATTAGATTTTTAGAAATGTGGTTAAAAAAATTCACGATTTCATCTTAGAGATCTAGAAATATAATTTAAAAATCAAACTTCATATGAAATAGAACAAAGATATCTTTTACGCGTAAATTCAGAGACACAGGATTATTCTACAATAGGGCACTATTTTACGCGTTAATTGATTTTACATAATCTACGAATCTTATATTACGAAGTATCTAGACTGTTTGCATTGAAATGCACTGGAACTGTGCATCAAAATTTTTAAACATAAATTATATAAATTTCAGTAATAGACGGTAATTATGGATATGGAGTTATGGCGTATTCAGCAAAATATAAATCATAGTGGTTATTACTCTGCAGTAATATGATTTTGGCACAAATTACAAATTGATAAAGAATAGATGACGTAAGATGAACTCATCTCTTTCAAACGATTGCCATCATATGCATACACCTTAGAGAATCTAGTGAAAAGGAACATCCTTCCTGGCACTGTTTCCTATATATTTCAGAGAAAATTCCCCACATAATATGTATATCTTAATAGATTGTGTCGGTGATTCAGTGCCAGCAGCATACTAACTAACCACGTACGAGGCCCAGGTGCTTCGCCTGGCTAACACGATCCTAAATATCTTTCAGCCGATAGTGATCAGAGTACAGAGAGAAAGTTGAACGAAACACTAGTAATCGCGCCGCGTAAATGAAAACACAACTCATACTGAGGCTTCGAAATTCAGGATTTAAATGTGTTCTGGAATCTACAGATGTGTAACGTAGAACCGGTCTACACAGATCTAAAACAGCCAGTCCAACCAATGATAGGAGAAACGAGAAAGACGTGTGGTATCAAACAGACACATACAGTATAATAAATGTAGAGGTCGAAAATCTGGGAGATATAATCTAAGAGATGCAAGAGGTAAATTATGGGGATATAAAGTTAGAAAGTCAGAAGTTTGCAAGAAATTAATATTCCTTTAATCACCTAACATGAATTTCGAAGTAGTATTTTTCTATGTACTGCAAAATGTTTGTGTCTGCTTCTCTATCTTTTCATCTACCTTAATTAAATATTTTAGAATCAAGGATATAGGGTTGCATGTGTGTGTGTATCAGAAACAATGAGATTTTTGTAATTTAAGAATGACATATTACTTATCAGAATCTTCCAAATCAAAGATATGACAATAATGATCCTTCCCGTCGGATTTATCAATATGTTGGTTGTATAAAACCATACGCCACTGATGGATTGGGTTGTCTAGTTTTATACCACTCCTCCCAACCCACCAGACCTTGCTAGTCAGGCCGAAATGATCTAAACACTGGAATGCAGTTCCACTTGTCTGTGATGGAGGTCGTCAGCGATGTGCCAGCTTGCACTCAGCTCAGACGGCAGAATCAGTTCAAATCATCCTGTTTATGGTATCAAGCTGATCATATATTGTGTTTTGAATAATTTGGTTTCCAAAGAAAGCCACGGTGAAATGTCAGTTTTATTTCATCACTTAAGCTTTTTGTTACACCATTAAGTGCTATTGCTCGGTTTGTTAAACACTTAATTAAACCAGCTTTTACAGAGAACAGATGAGATGATATAAACTCTAAATATCTATTAAAATACTGAGAGATACATCTCCCGATGACACTGACCAAAAAAATAAAACTCTTCCTCTTGATAAAGAATACGCTGGCTGTATAGACCAATGAACATCTACTTCACAGAATATATTCCATGACAACCACTTCACCTGAAATGATCACCCAGAGTATTATGAAGTGAACAGCAGAGTTGCAAGGCAGATGAACAAACCAGATTAAAAGTTAAAACGGTTTGATATAATACATAAAATCATGTGATAACTCCAAGTAATGTAGTGTTATGAGACTGCCTAATATTATCCGTTCAGTCGAATCGTAAATTTCGGAAACCAAATGAATAACTTATAGCGAGGATCAGGTGGCACAGAAGTGCAAATTTTGACAATAAGTCGAAGACTTATTTGAAAACTCGAAGCAAGGCAAGGTTACTACGACTGTTTAATAGGTGGTGGTATTTATTTAAAACGTGGATATGATATATAGAAAATACCACTGAACGGACTGTGTGCACTGGAAAAATAAAAATAAATGAGATACACCTGGAAAATATTCACACTAAATACAACTGAGACCACTCTACATTTGAATGAAAAATTCCCATACTGAGTCATAAGGAAAAGGTACAAACAGCGAAGAGAATTTTCTTTTCAACGATTCATTTTCATGAGCTGTACAATCGTAATTATATTTGACAAAGAAATTTTTAGACCAACCAGATACTGGTAGACGTTGTCCTTGAAAAATTGTATTACATAATGTAAGGTGTAAGAAGGGATGATCAATTGTAACTTTGAAAGGAGACAGAAGGTGGCATGACGTAGTACGTGTGAGATAGTGACTAGTCAGTAAGCTCGTGTAGAATGGACAAGAACTAGTGGAAAGGCTATATAGTGTTTTTGAATAAAATCTGTATGAAAAGGCAATGTTATTAATAGACAGTAATAGTGGCTTTTGACCCCTTGAAAGTGTCTTTACCAATTTACTTTCTCATGCGGAGCAAAGTACATCGTCCGTACGCAACATCAAGTCCCTAAACGTATTCCGAAACACTTCCCAGCTTGTTTAGCCAGAAGAGGAAAGAAGAATGGCAACAGCCCTATCCTCGTCCACCTCGTCATCTCCGGACATCGAGCATTCCCGCATGAATGCTTCACATTACTATATAGAGTCCCTCAATATCATACAAAGGGACTTCGGGTAAGCCATCTGTACATAGCTGAAGCATTAGCTATTGGAAACCTCAAACCGGACCTCTGCATTCAAAAGCGATACATACATTCTCTCACCCTATCATGTCCAGAGTAAATTTCTTACTACAATTTTGCTTCTTTCCTTTATTATATAAGTTCATTTTATTATTTTGTTATTATTACTTTTACTATCATTATTATTCCCATCATCAACATTTTATTACCACTCCACTACTGTTTATTAATAACATTGCCTTTTCATACAGATTTTATTCAAAAACACTATATAGCCTTTCCACTAGTTCTTGTCCATTCTACACGAGCTTACTGACTAGTCACTATCTCACACGTACTACGTCATGCCACCTTCTGTCTCCTTTCAAAGTTACAATTGATCATCCCTTCTTACACCTTACATTATGTAATACAATTTTTCAAGGACAACGTCTACCAGTATCTGGTTGGTCTAAAAATTTCTTTGTTAAATATAATTCACTCTGCTTTTGGATAAGGAAAATTTGTAGTTCTGATTGCGTTGACTGAGAACTTGACTTCTTGAAAGCCACACTCGCAGAAAACATTTACCCTAACCGATTTACTGACAGCAACATGAAAGATGAGCAGTCTAAACTGGTCACCAACTCAGTTCCAAAGTAAACCTTATTCATGAACTTGGAATTCAGAAGAGATCAAGCTTCAGATATGCTCAAAAATCGTCTCTCTAAATCAGTTAGCAAAACGTTCCCTGCAGCTAGATTACATATGACGTTCACTAGCCGCAAATTGTTCTCTACCTCTGTAAAAGATAAGCCCCCCTCGTCTGACCGCCTCCACGTACATCTACAGTTCACCTGCTCTTGTGGAGCAGGGTACATTGGCCGTAGTCAGAGAACGCTCTTCACACGGATACGAGAACATATTCCAGCTTGGTCTTACAAGGGAGAAAGGAAATGTGTGCGAAGCACTATTCTGGAACACCTGATCGAATTCTGTCACTCGGTCAACCCTGACCATGATTTTAAGATCATATATAGAATTCATGCTAACTTCCCGCGTTTTCTTCGTTACAAACTTCCAAAGACAGCTGAGGCCTTGGCAATTCATGGCCTTAAGCCAGACCTTTGTGTGCAAAA